GGGCCGGGGGGGGGGGGTGGAACCAAACATAGAGGACAAGAAAAATACGATCATCTCAGAAAAACAAACATCACAACTGCTGTAATCCCTCCTTTCTGTCTGCAGGACTCCTTCCCATTGACTCTGGCTTTTAGAAAAACATATATAGATGAGTGAATTATTTTGTCACAATTCTTTGTTTTTTTGCACATGGACAGGCACTGTGCTGAAAGACACTATGCCATTCATCTATTGGAAAAAAAAGAGAATAACTGAATCTTAGTAGCTGTTTTTAATTGTGAAGTCTCATTGTTGATCATAATGACCTATTTTTGGGCAATACAGAGGGAGAGGACTCCAATATTTTTATGGTCCTTTTTATATATATCTATCTGTGTGTTATTGTTGTTGTTTAGAAAAAAAATGTATACTGTAATCTTTTTTTCAATGAAAACATGGTGATTTCAAATATAAGAGAGAAATAGAAATGTAAATATACTTCACTGCATATAATCAGTTCAGGCATATTTTTCTGATAGTGTTTCAAAAGAAAATCAGGGTGAAATTAACGTAATTGACAGTCTGACGGTGAAAAAAAACTACATTTCTTAAATTATTGTATACATATGAGCTGAATAATTTTACAGGTGTAATACCAGCATACTCACGCACATGATAACATGAGCTGAAACTTTCCTCGTTTGCCGTGGAGTTTCAAAAACACCACTCCCGTCCAAAGCACACTGTGTGTAGTGATCAACGAAAGGACTTTTCCTGTATTCTGACACTTTTATACTCCTGAAAAAAAAGAAAAGAAACTTACTATGTTGTTGTTGTTAATGTTGTCTAATAGAGGACGTTCCCCTTGATTTTGGAACCTGTTGTGGACTGTACGTGAACGAAGCGGTTTATTTCTCTTTTGGCTGAAGGTGGCAAACATTTTTAATGTTTCAATTATTTCAATCATACCTCAGTCCTGTGAGATTTAATTTATTCAGAGCAGATCAAGTGTACGGAGGAAGCTTTGCACTGTGTACAAAAAGAACGACCGTTTTCTCTTTACACATGCTAAGCTGTCATGAGTGACCTTACAGAGATTCGATGTATGAAAAATTGTTCCGTGAATGTTGCTTTTATTTTTCTGCCGCTGGCATCCAGAACGCAGGTCAGGAAGAAGCCAAACGAAAAGCAATCTATTACTGGTGCGCTCAAGATTTCATTTCAAGGGCATAGCAAACCTTTTATCTGAAATATTGACGTATTTTAATATACAGCCTGTTGAAGACACTGAAAAAAAATAGTTGACTCAAACCTGGAGCTGCTGCTTTCTTTCTTTCAAGTTGAAAAGCTGTTTTAGGTCAAACGCATATATATATATAAAATGCAGATTTTTAATGTTAAATGATCTGATATGTATATTCTGATGTAAATGTGTCTTTTTTTCCTGCTGCAGATGTAAACTGTTGTTTGATGACTTCTGTTTATTTGGTGTAGTCTGGTGGCCAGAGGCAAACGCACTAAATATCGAGTCTCGAAAAAATGTACAGATCCAGTCACATAATATTTAAACAATTGAAAGGAACGGAGCAAGGGAAGAAAACTATTGTAATGTTCAAATGTAAAAGAAAAATGTAAAAACAAAACATTAAAAATGAAACCGAGATGTTTGTTCACTGATTTCAATTTTGATTCGGGTTATTTTTGTGGTTGTTGGTGTTAATGTCTAATTTTTTAGATTCTTTAGAGAAGGAGGTCTACATTACCTGAAGAGCACGGTCTGTCAGCGTTCCCATTCATCTTTAAGTTGCTCAGCTGGCACCGGATCCCTGACAATGCTGAGTGGCTGATGGTACCACAAGAGTCACAGGATCTCCACTAGTGATTATGGTGAGCTGTGACAGGAAAGACAACAGAGAGAGATAAATTTAAGTGAGTTTCATGCTTTAAAGAGGCCTCTGAAAAAAAGAAAAACATTATTCAATAGTGTTTGTACCATGCAAGTAACATGTTGTACAGTACCAAAAATAAGTTTGAGGTCAGTAAGATTTTTTTGCTCACCAAAGATTAATTTATTTGATCAAAAATGGGAGTAAAAACAGTAATATTGAGGGATATTATTTCAATTTTAAATCATTTGTTTAGTATAAAAGGTTTTTTTTTTTCCTGTGATGTTTAAGCTGAATTTCAGCATCAGTACTCCAGTCTTCAGTCTCACACAATCCTTCAGAAATCATTCTAATATGCTGATTTGGTGCTCAAGAAACATTTCTTATCATTATCAATGTTGAAAACAGTTGTGCTGCTTGATACTTTTGTGGAAACAGTGATGCTGTTTGTCAGGATTTTTTCTTTCTTTAATAAATAAATCTGAACGTTTGAGTGGCCCTGCGTTTCAGACCTGGAACTATATTTGCCCACATTTGTCCCATCAGGTCTCACTCATAAGGGGACATCGCCGGGCCTGTCCATCTGTCTCAACTCACCGACCGAGTGGCCCGTGTCTCTGTCACGGCCGCCTTGTTTTTAATCTCAACAATATCTCTTTTGTGCCGCATCTACTAGCAGGTCTTCCATCTACTAAAGACAGAATGTCACATGGCTGAAAAATAGCCGAAAACACTTCCCTGGTGCTTGGATCTGTCAAGGTTCCCGAGAAGGCTGCAGATGTTCAGCCTTATTTCCTGATATAAACATGATGCTGATCAATAATTAGTCAGCAGACACACACTTTCATTATTGATGGAGTAAGTCACTGACCTTCTGTCGCTGAGTTGGTCCATGAGGGTTTGGCTTGGACTTTCAGTGTTTACCTAGTTCAATGCTTTCCTGAGCGCAGTTTTCAGGTCACTTGGATAGTAGCCTGTTTAGTAAAGTCCAAGTCATTGTAGACCTACAATTTGAAAATTATAAGGGCAACATATGCTATGAATTGGTGACAGGACCAGAATTGGGGTCACTTCAACCCGCGGACATGAAATACAACTCGCGGCAAGAGTGACAAAGTAGCCCAATTCTACGGGAAAACCGCGGACTTGGCAACACTGTGACGGATAGTAATGTCTACAACGGACACGAGCGCTGTCACGGCGCGACCACAACAGTTTGAAGTTGTATAATTTGGCACGGTCTCCCTGCTACTCCCTCCCTTCCTGGACTAATAGTAGTAAGCCATTCATCTGTGTATACATATCCTTACAAGTACAATTTTAGCTGTTTTATTTGTGTCCCCTTCAAAAATTGCACTTGAGAAATTGTTTATTTTTCCTGGCTACAAAGAACCCCAAAGGGTTCTTTTAATTGAACCTTTTAGGGGCTCCAAATATGAAGCACCTGGTAGATCCCTTTAAGGTCCCATGTTATATACAGGACCTTTTCTTCTAAGAGTGTAAGGTCATTTAAAGTCATTTTTGTGCGAAATTAGATACAATGGTCATGAAAAAGTACTTTTTTCCCCCAGAGAAAAAAACAACAACTTTAAAACAAGTAGATACAAAGTGGACAAAACCTTAATAAAATGAATAAATGATAAGGCATGATATGACCATGATTTCTTTTGTTCAGTGGTGCTGTTTGGTTGCAGAGACATGCGTGATACGTGAACCCACAGGCAAACTTTCTTTCTCATTCGGCTCATTTTGGCTTTCATGGGCTCTATAATAAAAATTTCTACCTCATGAATTTAGCTGAATATGAAATGAATATCTTCATAAATGGATATTAAGGCTTTAGCTGTGCTTAGCCACTGTAGTATAATAGAAACTCACATTTTGCTTAAGCCGAACAATAACTCCCGGCAAATAATCTGTCGAAGTATAAAATCTAATGCCACACATATCTTTATTAGTTTCAGAAATATTTCCTCAGATCGATAGATAAAAATACATGGTTCTCATATATTATGCTGTCAAACGCGCCTTATTAAAGTTTCATCTTTTTAGAATTCACCAAAATAGCTGAACAGTATTAACTACAGATGCGGCGCAAGAAAGCCTATCGAATCATTCATTTAGATGAAGAGAAGACAGGTCAAATATACAGGGGTGTGAAGTAACGAATTACAAATACTCACGTTACAGTAATTAAGTAGTTTTTATCAGTAATTGTACTTTTTTTGAGCAGTTATAAAATGGTGTACTTGAGTACATTTTAAGTGATGTATCGGTACTTTTACTCCGCTATTTTCCTCCGTTTGTGGTCGTTACATGCTTAATTTTAATCTTATTTTTATCCATCAACGTGATTGGATATAGAGTAATAGTTCTCGTGACTTTCGTCAAATCAAATTGTGCATAGAAAACTTTAACCGCCAACTGTTTATCATGGCTGCCGGAAGTGCATTCTTCAAGCATCAATTCAGTCGCATCTTCCTCTAACTTGATATGTTAAGGTAAATTTCGGATTTCTGCTTACTAAATGATTTGTATATATGCTTGCCTATCTACACGGCCTGAAATTTGGTGTGAGGTTGCGGGTATTGCATACAGTGTTAACTCCCGCAAGTGCCACGTTCGGTAAATTCCCACTCACTTATGAGACAACTGGGACCGTTTTGGTGAGAAATGGGCTCTCATTTTAACCCATATCATGGTGTGTGATGCTGAACTATGAGTTTCTAATGGTGTTTGTATTTGCACTGTTCTAAACATTAATATTTTATGTGCAACAACAGCATATGTGGTTTCAGTGGCCTTACACATGATTTTAAATCTATTTTTTCAAACTTTGATTTAAATGGGGATGATTGTACTGAGAATAACTCATCTTTTCTTCAACTGAATACTGTTTCCGTGCTGTTTTGATGTATTTTAAAGAGTTGGCAGTCAAAATTAAAACTGCTGGATGATAGATACTCTTCATTCTTTATGACAAACAAGATAATGTGAATTA